AGCTGAAACCAAGTCACTGACTCCGAGCTTCCTTTCTCGACGGACACAAGTATCATCTGCAAATTTGATAAATTCCCCTTCTATTCCCTCTTCTAAGTCATTTATGAAGATATTGAAGAGTACTGGGCCTGAGACGGAACCTTGTGGCACACTGCTTTACTTCCCTCCACGTGGATGTGGAACCATTAAGGATTACTTGTTGAGTATGGTTTGTCAGCCAGTTATAAATCTATCTGGGGGTAATGCCATCTATCCCACTTTTTTCTAGCTTACCAAGAAGTAGATTATGGTCTACTTTGTTGAACTCTAATTACTGAACTCTAATTATATAGAATGACAAAGCCTAAAAAAGGTGTGGAAAAGAATTAATGCTTCATTTTGTACACTACATTTCACTATGCTATATTATACTAATAACTTGCAGGATCTTTGGAGTTATCTGAACATAATTCATTTTTCAGGAATTCTAGAGATTTGCTGCACCCTTAACATCTTTGATAATATTGATACAATAATACAGAAAGGTTCCTAGAACAGGAAGAATGGTACATACATTTGAAGTAGAAAGCACTTTCAGAACAAGTTTGATCATCTTTTGAATATATGGCCCCACTGGCTTCATACTATGAAGATTATATCACTGTAATTTTAAAGGGTGGTAAGGATCTTGCCCATTATATAAATTGATTGATTATGTGCCATGAAGTTTTTTTCTATTCCTAATAACTGCATAGGTTTTCTATCCCTAACCTGTTCTTTCAAGTCTCCCAATGGTGTAATCAAATCTTGCATGTTTAGTTTTCCTGTAGAATATTCATCCTTCAACTCATGCAATTACCTGATGGGAGCAGGGAGACAATATTTTTAGTAACAAGTGCCTTTGCCTAATGTTTCTATTTCTTTGAAGTAAATAGAAGCAAGAATTTGGATTCTGATAAGAAAAAGAATCAAGAATGTGCATTCTGATAAGAACTGGTTCAAAGCGACTCAATGCTAGAACTGCTCAGAAAGTGAACTCTAGTAATTCAAAAACTCATAATAATGTAAAAACACAGGATAGATTTTCTTCACTAGTCATTAAAATGGAGGTAGAACTCAACAAGAATATTGTCTGTTTTCTCTAATTTGTAATATGGTTTTGAAACTTCTATCATGCCCAAAGAGATAAATTCATGGAATTTGGAGAATTTGTGTGAATTTGAATTTAAGATATTTGATACTATAAGATGTTTTTTTTCCCAATGAATATAAAATCCTTATTTAAAATTTAGAAAGTAGTTATATGGTTGATTTCTGTGTAATAAATACATAAATTGGAATAAGTAGTATTATGTCAAAATTCTGACAACTGTTTAGGTTTTGTATATTTTCCAAAAGCCATATCAGCAGAAAAGCATCCAGATTAGTAGATAAGTACATTTGAAAACATTGCCCAGATGAAAGATTTGAGATAATTGTGTTTTTTTTAACAACCCCCTCCAAAACTGAAAAAATAAATATGTCATATATTTAAGTGCACTGTTTCAATTGGTCTTGGTGATATTTCTAGCATTTCATTCAGGCTTGTTTTCTGAATAATACTGTTAATTGCCACAAGATGGTACTGTGTCTTGATAACTCATATTTTCTTTACAACTAACAGAATTGATATTTTGAATTTAAGGAGTTAATTAAATTTTAAGAAGACTGAAGGATTCCTCTGGCCAGATCAGCATAGACAGTATATACAGTAGTTAAAATGCTGCTTGACTCAATATGCTTTCATGATCTTTTATAAAATGCCACGTGTATCCTTTTGGGATTAGTTTATGCATATTTAAGTCCAACTGTAATTAAAAAATATTGAAGTAGAATCGGAACTCTTGTCTTCTATTTCATCTTGAACGATTAGTTCAAAATAACTTACAATACTGATGTTTGTTTTTGTAAAGATCCAGGTTACATAAGTCCTTCCTCTAGGCTGAGATATGGGTTACCTGCAGAATGCAAACACAAAGGAATGGAGGGGGGAAATGGAGTCAGGACAACCTATAACCTCTTATAGTCCTTCTCATTTGTTGCCTAGCATTTTCAGCCTAAAATTAGACCTATTGCTTTAAGTGGGTTACTTTACATTAGCATCTCTATTCCTTTTGCCATTAAGCACTGAAAAATCCCAGTCAATATGTATTGCTAAAGTTTTTTGTACTTCTTCATGTATAAAGATTTAATAGATGGATTGTTCTTAAACTCATTCACAATAATCCATATACAATCAAGGCGCCCCAAATTTAGTGCATTATTTACATGATTAAAAAAAAATATGATGAATCAAATGCACTGCTATGGTAATTTTGATCTGGAATGCTACTTACCTTCCCATTATGTATAATATTAATGATAATGTTAAGACTGTAATATATTTATTTGGAACCAATATCTTAGGTTTTTAATATTTCCATTTGTCTGGCACTTGTTAATCATGATTTGTGTGAACTGATCTTGTAAAACTAACAATTGGTTCAGTATCTGAAATGTTCAGAGGCGAAAATACATTTTCCAAAGGAGGGAGGAATAATTTGATGAGTTGAATCTATTCACCAGGACAGTGTTTTCGTTGTATAGACTTCAAATTCCCTGAATTCCCCAGCCAGCATGCAATCGAGACTTAATCTACCATTCTTAGGGGATTTTGGGAGATGATGAATTATATTTTCACAGAAGCAGCAGGTTGTAGATGCAGTATTAGTTTCAGGAGAAATAGAAACAGACATTCTCCAGTGAAATTGGCCTACTCTATGGAATTATTTTATTATTATAGTAGTCCTAGCATTCTTTCCTCTTCTATCCTAACTTCAATGTTCATATCTGCTGCTTACTCAGGCATATCCACTATAGTCTCTCTTCAGGCTGAAACATAGAAGTATAATAAGCAAAACCACCTCAGAACTTGAGTAGCTTCAGAAAGAGATTCTGAGAAGTAAATAAACCAAGCCCATGAACTATGCTTTAAATATTCTTGTAAAAATAGAAATTCTTGCTTATCTATACTCCCATTCTCAAAAAACTCATGACATAAGTATCATTGCAAACATGCATTTTTGGGAAAGTAGAAAAAAAAGGGTCAGGGAAAAGTACTTCATAAACACTTTTGAAAGGATTAAAAGGCAAATGAGACAAGGACATCTCATAGATCAAATTGAATGATTATATTTCCTTCAGTCCAAAGCTCTGCACAAGATCCCTGACTAGTACATTTTTTTCCTGATTAGTAAAATAGATACGGCAGCAAACGATGGATATTCAGAAGTTTAAGGAGGCAGATGTATTGATACTATTGGGGAATCTTTTTATTGGGATGGGTGAAATCACAACTAAAAGTAAAGCAATAATATATATGGGAATTTGGTGTCAGCTGTGTAGTGTGGTTATAGTGATTGCAGTAGGATAAACTGCCAAACTCTCTCTGTTATTTAATTCTGCCACTTCTTGTTGATCTAGCAATTCTGGTACTTCACCAAATTCATAATGTTCTACAAAGTATTTTTCAATATGGTCACTGAGGTATGTAGTCTTTACTATGTTGACATTTGAGATTAGGTGTTAGACTTTGTAGGACTGGTATAGCTAATTTTAGGTAGAGATGCCCCATTTTGTTGACAAACCTTCATTTTGCTTTAAGATGTTTTCTCTTTGGGCCGCTCCTTTTTGCTCATCCTTTTGCCCTAAAATTCCCCAAAGGCTATGTGATAACTTTATCAAGGAACACATACCAGGCCAGCAATTCCTGTTTCAGATAAAATTAACTAGAAACTTTTGAATATTAAATTACCAGCCTTATCAGTTATAGACAGAAAGGGAAGCACTGTAATATTTTATTAATGAATCCACCTTCTGGGAGGGCCATCCTCTACCATGGGTGTGACTACTTCGTTGCTTGTTGCCTTCATGTGCCTTTATTTTTCAAAAGTGTGTAAAAGCTATGCTGATTTGTGCACTATGAGCTTTGGATTTGTGATTTAGTCTTGAAAGGACATGAGTGCTGTACAAATAAACAGGTTGCCATTTCCAGCCTTGTGTGATAATTGGCTATTTTGCACCAGGAACAAACACATTCAGCATTTGGTTGGGCCAATTCATAGTTTGGCCAACCACATTAAGACATAAAATAGTTCTAAAGCAGAAAATTACTATGAAAAGTTAGAAAAATATGAAGATGTAAGGAGTTGGATATTTAATAACATTAAGTATTAAAGTCAGTCATCTTTTTTGCAGCTGTCATTGATAGTCATAAAAGTCAGTTAAGGTCATCTTCTCCTGAGGTCAACAATAGTACATTCTTTATGTGTCTCTTATCTTGTTGGAGTCTTCAAGGTCATTGAGTATCCACTTAGGAGAAAACCTATTGAGCACTTATCATCATTTTTTATCCTATGTGAAAAAAATTGAGATACCCTGTCTCTGTTGTAATAAGGAGTTGTTTATTGTTCATCTTCATCATAGAGAAGCAAACTTGCAGAGCAAACTGATCTGAATAAGCAAGCTGAGCAGTTCTCTTAGATATTCCGATTCTTGACGGCAGTTGAATATAATTTGTGGCTCTTTACCCTTTGGGGGAAATAGCAATACCATTTTTTTTTACTTAAGGTGATCTGAAATGTTCAATATGTGTATCTCAATAATACCGGATCATGGACATTATAATTTTTGCATGTGGAATTGGTATCAGTGCCTTGATGGCAATTTGACTGTTTTGAAACCGTCCACTGGACAACTAATGGCCTTGCTTGTGCAATTGATTGGCGAGATCAGAATTGATTGGTATGAGAACAGAATCCTACACTAGTGGGGCTAGGGTACCAATCCAGGAGAACATCTTTTATGTTCTTATTATGTTAGTTCATTATGAACCTTGTTCTGCAAAATTGGAAAAAACTAACCAGGATAATTTTTATCACAGAATTCGAATAGCTTTCTGAAATTGGATGGTGCTTATATATTTGGATCATTCAGACGGTTCTCACTCATGATTAACTCAGAACAACAACAAAGAATTTGTGTGGCACTTCAGAAATTAACAAATTTATTATGATATATTCTTCCCTGTAACTATATCAGCTGTATAGAAGAACAAATCTTACGCGTTTTGAAGCATGACTAAGAGACATCTTTGTGATGACTTGAAGTGATCTCTGATTGCCTAAGGAGGAGATATCACACTTACTTTGAAGTCATATTATTGACTCATAATAATGGTATTATTTTAGAATGGGAGCTGAATGAAGTGTCATGTTTGTGCAATGGAACACAATGCATGGAATATTTTCAACATTTTTACTATTGTGTATAATACAAACAACAGCAGAAAAATCAGCATCTTTTCTTCACTTTGTTTAAATGTGAATGCATCATTTTTCTAGCCTGAATATTTTTTTTCTCAGTTTAATCATTTTAAGAATTTCTGACATGATTCCATAACATTTACATATTTGCATGCATGATTCAACTGGTAGTAGTGCTGAACAGCTAAAGTATTAGATGAAAGCTGTCGGATTTTGTGGCTATGCATTCAATGTTTATTGAAGGTATTCAGGTTACAGGTAGCTTTTCTGTTTTTACTGGTTAAAAAATCATTACAGACGTTTTACAGTATTCAGAAACAAAATATATATTCTATATGTCACAAAAGGGGGTGTGCATAAGCACACCAATGTGCCTACCGTCCCTGTCATATTGTTTCTTTTTATTTTCTTATATGTATCTATTTCATGTATTCATAACTATGTTTTATACTTATACCTGTTATCTTATAATTGCTTGACAAAATAAAATAAATAAAAATAAATAAAATAAAAAGAAGGAAAGTGAGGAGAAATATAAAATAACTGCAGGGATATTTAGGTTTACAAGAATGACAATTGAAATAGAGAAACCTAGAGAGTGGATGCTTTTATGTTTTCTTTTTTGCCCCTATAGACAGCAGAACTATTTACAATAGGTGTTTACAACAAGATCCTGGTTTCTTAAGTCTCTCTTTCAGATTCCTTCCCTCATTTCTGGGAGGGGGGGGGGGGGGGAGAAAGAAAGTAAAAGAAAAGTGCTGGGCTTACAAAAGAGAGCGCTCAGTCCTGCTTCTCTCCTTTCCTTGGATCCATTTACCTGATCACCTTCTGTGTCTCCTTCCTTGGAAGAAGGACCTCTCTGCCCAGTCTACCTCAAAGAATTTTGTCAAAGACAGCCTCTTTCTAGTCTTGTGAAAATTTTGTCACATGAGGAATATGCTTCTCTTCCTCCAGGGAAGCCACCTGCCAGTTTTTCTTACACACACACACACACACACACACACACACACACACACACACACCAATCTTAGTCTGCATTTTTTTTTCTACAGCCACTCTCTTTTACAACAGTCTTTTTAATGCTCTCTTTTTCTTTTCTCTCCTTTCTCTTTCCAGTTTGGGGTAAGGCAAGCAGCAGCTCTCGCTCTCTCTCTGACCCACAGGAACCCTGGCTAGCACTCTCCTCACAATACGCCTACACTTCAAGCCAGAATTGAATTTCTTTCCTTTTTCTCTTTCACCTTTTTCTGAACCACACCAACACAACAGGAACCATACGAGGCCATTAAGATTATTATTATTCCTGCATAAGGTGAAAAAGAACAACAGCTCAAGAATTAGAATTGCTTATTTAAAAAAAAAATTAAAACTGCATAATCTGTTTTTACATATAATTTTTATTAAAATCTTTAATAAACAAAAGGCTAACACACAGTAGCACACAGGAAGGAATAAAAAAATCAAATAAAAAGCAAACAATGCAATAAAAGAAAATAAGTTGAAGAAAAATAGAAAAGAAAGAAAATAGAAAAAGGTGGCTTCCGATATTTACCACAGCAGTTATGGTATAAGTGCAAATGTATTTTGACCTCTCTCTCTTTAAATATGCATTATATTGCTCTTCTTTCTATAATCTGTCTTGTCTAATCATCAAAATCATAAATCACGTACACAAGCTTGTCAGTGGTGGGATTCAAATTTTTTTACTACCGGTTCTGTGAGCATGGCTTAGCGAGCATGCAAAATTCCATTCCCTCTCCACCCCACTAACCTGCTTTCCAGCTCCATTCTCTTGTGCAGGGCAACAAAAGAAGACCCAGCTGATCAGCTGGGACTTGGGAGGCAGAGAATAGATGGGGGCGGGGCCAGTCAGAGGCGGTATTTGCCAGTTCTCCGAACTACTCAAAATTTCTGCTACTGGTTCTCCAGAACTGGTCAGAACCTGCTGAATACCACCTCTGAAGCTTGTATAATTTTTAAAATAGCCTCTTGAGTTGAGAAATGGTGAGAAAATGAATAATTGGAGAGTACAATTATTACAGTAAAAAAGTAGGGTCCTTCAAATCAAGCTGTATTGCTAATGTTCATGTAATTAGTACTGGTATAGAAAAGATTTTGTTTTTATTTCTTAGTTCAGCTTACATTCCCAAGACCTACCTGATTTTCTGATTTATATACTAATCTAAGCCAACCCTGAGCTTCTAAATTCAATTTAGAATTTAGCTGGAGTTACCATATGGATAGTCACTAACTTATAACCATTTATTTAGTGCCCATTCAAATGTAGAACAGCACTGAGAAAAGAGGTTTGCAACCAGTTCTCACATGACTGTTGCAGCACCCCTTGGTCACGTGATCTTCATTTTCCAAACCAGTTCAGGGGATTAAAGAAAGGAGAGCAAGTGGAAGTTCCATTGGTATGAATGGAACTTTTTCCATGGAATCTTGGTTACTAGGCTTCTATCTATTTTTCAATAAAAGGTGGAATACTTTTTACTCAGGTACATTCTCCCGTGTTTCTTCACCCCAAGCCACCTACATATTGTAGGCCAAAATGTATGCTTTGTGGATTTTCTCTTATCTAATAGGTCATTGGTCATTACATTTAACTATATGTTGATTATAATGTGGCAGCAATTAAAATCCACAAACGGCTAGAACATAGGAAAATATACATTAAAAACCAGATTTTAAAAATTCTTTATCATTAATGCTATCATCAATAGTGTTTTAAACTGAACAGTCTTCCTTTAATTAAAATCACCTGGTCAATTTCTTGATCCAATAACTTATCCATTCCCTTTCAGATAAGTTGATATTAAATATTCTTTTCTTGCTTTAAGTCCCCAGGTTTATTTTTTAATACCAAACTTCAATATCTTAGTCTATTTATTTTAGTCCCTGTAATATATACTGCATGTAACTGTTACTATTACTAATAACCTATTGTAGACCCAATTTCCTTTCTTCTCTCTTGGGACTGTGTTATTCACATTTGTATTTTTAACTCTCCTCACGGATCTTTGAAAAAATATTTTCCCTAATTGGCTATGCAGCTTATAACTCACATATTTCTTACTATGAAGATGTACTATCCACTAATGTACTTTCCACTATTTTCCCTCTCTTTGTGGATAGATTCAGAATATTAGTTTTAGTTCTGAATTTAAGTCTTGGCAATATTTTGTTTTACTATAGCATATTATACTTCTATAATCAAAACACAAACGTTGTTCAAGAGCTCATTTGGATCTGCTTTGTATTTCTTTTTTATTGTTTCACTTTTTTGTTTTGTTTTTGTTTTATGCTGGTCATTAACTGAAAGAAAGGAACATACATGTTTCTTCCCTTCTTGTAAACAGAGACTATCTCATATTCTTAGAAGAAGGCTTTGAATGCTCAAAGGGGACAAGGCTGCAAAGCTTTCTTTGGTGCCGCAATAAATGGGATAATGGCAGAAAACTCATTTTTTAATTCTACTTTATCTTTAAAGAAATCTATTTTAAATATTAAATACTTAATTTAAAGTAATTAAATTTAATATTTAAATGTACTCAATGTATTCAAAACAATACAATAAATGCAATTGTTGCTTGAGATAGAACCCCATATGGTGCCCTAGCTTTTAGATCAAGGCTTATGCTACCCAAGACTGATCAAAATATAACAGCAAATGTGACAGAAACTCCCAGAGTTTCTTCCCTCCTTGCAGTGAATACACAATGAATACACAGTGAATAACAGTAAATAAATTGCATGTTCTGCTAGTCCATATCAGATGCCTAAAGTGATGGTGATGTTCTGCTTAATGATAGAGCTAGTCTATGAAATGCCCTTCTTCCCAATAAGCTGGAGGAATATATTGCAGAACAGAGGCATTTATCAATTGTATTGACAGGCTACCATCACTTCCATCAGTAGAATCAGTTGTTGCATTGTCAACTCTCTGATGTTCTAGTCCCTTAGATGTTGTTGTTGATGATTCCCAATGGTTGCTGTTCACCTTCACGAAGGAGGTGGCGTTTTCATGTGTGGTATGGCAATGAAACAGATGTTTTCAAGGCGGGTCACAAAGCAGGGGTTATTTTCTTTTGTAATGGCAGGTGGTTGAGATACGTACATACCCTGTTGACACATGAATACAATGCTTTATCATTAAGAAAACATGCCATGAAAAACTTTGAGACAAACTGCATCACTTAGCACATGCTACCCATATACCTTGCTTTCTTATTATGCAAAATGATTATCACCTGTATCATCTGAATACATTTTGAGTAGAATGTTACTCTTTTCATCCAGTCACTTTTCTTTATTCCACACCCAAATTCCTCATTTTTTTAATGGTTGTGGGAACATACAGCTTTCACTGAATATAAAAAATTACAAAGAAATTTCTCTCCACGGTGGTCATTGTGGCTTATTAAAAATTGTAATACATTCTAATGACAAATAGTAATTGTAAGTTAAATTCATATGACTAATCCAAAAGTCATAATCTTGTTTAAAAATAATGTTTGTAGGATAAATGTTTTATAAAGTAAAGATTCTCAGGTCAACAAATATATCTGGAATGTTGTGAGATTTTTACAAGCCACTTTCTTGACCAGGAATTTTAGCATCTTATAGCAGAGTTTCTCAATGAACTTCAACTCCAGAATTCCCCAGCTAATTCTCGTAGTTGAAGGCCACCCATCTTAAAGTCATCAAGGTTGAGAAAGACTGTCTTATGGTATCACCAAGACACTATTGAGACAGTATAAGCTTGTTGCCATTATTGTTAGAGTATCTCAGTGATGTTTGATGATCCTAAGATACTATAAATCACTAGTGAAGAAATGACCACAAATGTAAAGAATAATTTATACAGAGTGATTGTAACCAGTCAAAAAATACCTGTTTCCCAGAAAGATAGGTGGGGATGGGGATTCTGACCCTCAAAATAAAAACTCATTTTTTAACCCATAGAAATATACGCTGTGGAGAAGAGCAGATAAGTAATGCAAATAGATGTAGAGATGAAGACACATCCAAATCAAAGACTAACATGTTTTTCTCCATTCTGTGAGGAATTGCAAAGGATGCCAGTGTAAATCTGCTCTTCCTCCATAATTAATCTATGCTTTGTTAATTAGGCAACTAAGAACAATTTCCTGAAATCTATCTGGGAGAGATCTCTGGAGCTGATTTTGGGACTGTGAAAGAAATGGGATGGGAATATCTGAATACACGAATAATGAACATCAGAGGAATATTTTAAAGTCAGTCCTGTCCGAAAAATAACGGTTAGTTCTTTGGTCTTGCATTTTGGGAAAAGCAGAGTTAAATCACTCTTGGAGACCAAACTTTAATGGGTTCAGTTAAAAAACAACAATAGAATGTTGGTATATCCAATATCCAAGATTTTGTATTTAACCTTCTTGATAAAAAGCTATATTACTGTGGGACAAATTAAGATGTAGTAAATGGAAAAAAGTGCTCTCCATTCTTTTCTGACAGTAAAAGTTCTGATGGCAGGTCACTTTGGAGATGTCTTGGTCTACTGCTTTTTCATGGATCCTTGCTGCTGCTCTTGCAATAGCATTTAGGTGAGGACCTTTGCCTGTCAGACTCATAGAAACAACATGCCATAGAACAGGCCTGTCAAACTTGCAGGCCACGGGCCTAATGCGTCATGTGCTGGCCACGCCAACACCCAGTTTAGCTAAGGGAGGAGGAAAGTCGTGTTATGTCACGCGACACCGTGAGTTTGACACCCCTGCCATAGAGTGATTTGCAAAGTCACAGCATTGTGACTATTTTGGTCTGAGAGGCTGGTTACTTTGGAGAGTTCCTGAACTATGGTTTCCTCTCATGTACTGGGTGCTGCTTCTCCTTTCTTGATGTCACATCAGCCAAGCACCACAAATCAAAATAGCCATGATGATATGCCAGCAACCACTGGAAAAAAGGGGCATGGTCACAACAGTTGAAAGTAGCCATTAAGAGATTGTCAGATCCAGATGCTGCCATATAATTGCCACAATGGCTGCCTAAGTGACATTATGTAGTTTAACAAAACTTGTATTGAGAATAGTTGTAAACACCAATTTAACATCACATGAGCTAAATCCAAAGTTGACTTGCCTCAGCTATGGGTTGGGATGAGAAGTTTTGGGTCATGAGGAAGGGCCTTTCAAAAATGGCTAGTGAGGCATCTTTGAGTTGTTGACAGGGCATATGTGAATGTGCCCTGAAACTCAGAATACAGAATACAGGATCACACATTGGGACCCATAATTGTCTCTCTTGCTTAAGGAACCTCTCAAACATCTGTGTTTCTTCTTTGTCCATATAATTTTCTCCATACTTACAATACACAGTTAAACTCCTAATTCTCAATCACAGACATACACATATGCAGACATCACAAGTTCCTCCCCTGCTTTTCCCCCCTCCCTCTCTCTAATCTTCACTGTTTCCATCTTCATGTCTCCTCATTTTCTTTATCCATTCTTTTAGGTCAATCTCAGCACAACTACACTTGGACTTTGTTCTCCATTTAAGGCTGCTTCCCCAGTGTCATCTCCTTGGAGTTTGCTTCTTATCAGGTATTGTCAGTAAGATGAAACACTGATTCTCAACTGTCTGAAACTTTTGGTTAACAATCAAATAATCCACAAAGGGTGATGCTATCAATATGGGTGTGGTATCTTTCAAGAAATGCTCATAGATCTTATTTCATTTTTACTCATTGGGTCTGTGTAGAATGTAGGACAGAGGAGCACAGTCTGAAACCTCTCGGCAAAATGCAACATAGATAATTCTACAGTTCTACTCACTACCTTTTTTGGAGTAGAACCCATGGCCCTCCAGGACAAAACTGTGGGGTACGTTCTTCAAACTGTCCAAAAGAGATGCTTTATAAATAGCTGTATATGCACGTGAAATATATATATATATATAATTGGGAATAGCTTCTGTAGCACGTTTTTAAAAAGCCACAGCTGCTTTATTAATATGAAAGGAGGTATATTTCTTTTAAGTTGTTGCATGACCTTCATGTGTGGCCCTTGACTTAGAAAATGTTGCACACCTCTGGTTTAGATTCTGCCAGAATGATGCTCTATACAAGATTGAGGTAACAATAATCTACAAACTCTGTTAGTCTTTCAAAAGGCCTAAACGCCTGGCTATGTTCTTGGGCCTAAGGTGCTGAATGAGTTAAGGGACCCATTTCCTGGCTGTATTGGCTAAGTATCTCGGCTGCCATATTTATTTAATTTGCATGTTTCTATTGTTTTTATTAAAATGTTTTTGGGTAGTTTGACTGTAATATATTGCTTGAATTATAAGCCACCCAGAATCATTGACTGACATGGGCAGCTATAGAAATTAAATAAATAAATAAGAATGTATTTTTTTCTTGAATTAAGGAATCCTGATGAATGTAGTTAGATGCAATTGTGTATTAAAAGCCCTTGGCCGTTTCTAAACAGGATTACCTGGATGTACCT